TCTACAAACATCACATACCGCATTACTAGAGGAGGGATGTGACCTAAAAGAACATATGTATGTGTGTCATTTCAACAAAGTGAAATTGCATTCTCGCGCTTTTACCTGCGCTGAGGGTGCAAGGGTGAGTTTAATGACGAAAACCGGCATTGTGCCAAAAATACATTCAACGTGCTAGTTGCGTATATCGGATACTGGAAGAGTACCAGCATAAGTGCAGAACTGAAACAATTTATTCGGCGAGTTTAACTGCTGCTTGCTTGTTTTATGTGCAATAAAGTGACAGAAATGCATCTAACTTCGAGCATTTTTCCTTAGTGTATTTCTGTAGATGGTCTGATGAGTCTCAGCACTTATGGAAAACCTCCTTTTTAAATACAGTTGTGTCTTGAAGACTTTCCTGAGGTCCAATATCTAATAGTTAAATTCCACTTGTCAACATACCAACGGATTGTAGGCAGATATGTCGAAATCAACTCGCTAGGCGAATGCACACACCATTGCTATGTCGGACTGACCGTGTGCGTCAACGATAGGCCAAACCGATTAGAAGAACACAGCCTTCACAGTTCAATGACCTTGGGTTCTTGTGAGTTTAATCATCATCGTCCCTAGAAAGGCACGGTGAAGTAGGCCGCCACACAAGAAAGCATTCCCTTTCCATGGAAATAACCAAACAACCATACCGCACGTGACACCAGGCCAACCATTCGGTACAAAATGACCCTAATCCCCTCTTGCATTTCCTGTTAACGGAAACACAACATTTTGTAAAATATTTAATCTGCATAAGTGTACTTTGGCCTAAACGTGAGCCCCAGAAAATTTGTCTTATGATAAACAGTATAAGCTACAAGTTAATTTAAGGTACGTAATTCTTCTCGGCCTAAAGGCATCTCTTCATGCATAGAAAGGACACAGTCGCACACTATAGCGTCGAGTGCATTCGTACTATCATTGCCTAGCAGGGTCCGAACACTCAGTAAAGTTAGTTTACGTTCGGATTTGCGTTGCCTGCTGCCTTTAACTAACCGATAACTACACTCGAAAGCAAGGGCCTGGTGCATATTGCTAAAAAATCAACGTG